ATGTGACCATACTCACCACACTCACAACACCCCTCTGAATGTTGTGGCTGGCCCTGGCGACCTGAATGACCTCCACGGAAACTCTGAAGTGGCGGTGCGCTGATGGGAGCTGACGGTACGCTGAGGGACTACTGATCAGAATAATTCCCACGGTAACCACGATCACTTGGGGCACCCTGAGAAACCTGGAGGGCTGACTAGAAAGGCCTGGAGGGCTGACCCCTATCATAAGAATCCCTGCCTCCAGATGAGACACCACTGAAACGACCTGAGTGACGGGGTCTCTTGTCTGCTCTATGGCTACCCCCCTGTGCCAGAACCATCTCAACTCGGCGGGCCACATTGGCCGCCTCCTGAAATCTGATCTCACTACCAGTCTCCCTAGCCATCTGGAGACGAATCGGCTGAATCAAACCATCAATAAATCTCCTCACCCTCTCCCTCTCAGTGGGGAGTATGACAAGAGCATGGCAAGCTAGATCGAAAAAACCGGGTCTCATACTGAGTGACCGTCATAGACCCTTGCTGGAGGCGCTCAAACTGCCTCCGATAAGCATCCCTCTGAGTAACGGGAAGAAACTTCTCCAGAAACAACTCTGAAAATTGATCCCAAGTCAAAGACGGCGACCTTGCTGGTCTGGCTAAACAGAAATCCCTCCACCAAGTCTTGGCGGACCCAGATAAACGGAACGCAGCAAAATCAACTCCAATGGACTCCACAATGCCCATGTTCCGAAGAACCTCGTGGCAGCTATATAAGAAATCCTGGGGGTCCTCTGACGAAGCACCGCTGAATATGGTGGTGAAGAGCTTGGTGAACCTATCCAGTCTCCACAAAGCATCTGCGGACATAGCCGCTCCATCGCCGGTCTGAGTCACAATACCCAGCTGAGCTGCCACAGCTAGCTGAACCACTGGAACCTGAGCCTGGGGAGCTACTTGCTCCGGAGTACGTCCAGCAGGAGTCTGAACTCCTCCTCCAGCCTGGGAAGTGGTTGGTGCTACTGGAAGCAAACCCGCTCTAGTGACGCTCTCCACAAAGCCTACCAATCTGATCAAAGCGTCCTGAAGAACTGGGGTGGCTATAAACCCCTCTGGGACCTGAGCTGGGCCCACTAGCACTGCTGGGACTGGGGCCGGAACCTCCTCGTCAAAACCAACCTGAGGCTCCGCCGCTGGTGCTGCTGCTCGGGGCTGAGCTCTGCCCCTACCTCGGCCTCTAGCACGGCCTTGTCCTTTGCCCCTAGCGGGAGCTGCCTGGGGCTCGGACTGCTGGTCTGAAGATGAGGAAGCGCATGTTCTCGCCATTCTGTGAGGAAACAGAGTAAAAGTTCAATTAGCATTGAGAAACCAAACTGCACGACAAGAAAGAACAAAGGAGAGATTTTTCCTAACTTGGCAGCCTCTAGGGGATAAGTACAGACGTCTCCGTACCGATGCCGCAGACTCTACTAAGCTTGTCTGTGAGTTGTGAGACCTATGTAACCTAGAGCTCTGATACCAACTTGTCACGACCCGGATTTCCCACCCTCGAGGGTCGTGATGGCGCCTACTAATAGGAGCTAGGCAAACCAACTTAATTAAGAAATTCATTAAACACATGTTCCTTTTTAACAATTAACGGTATTAAATAAAGGTGACAGAATTAAAATCATTAGCGGAAGACTTAAATTATATAACTGAATAAAATATAGAAATTCCAACATACGTCTCTACCCCGGGACTGGAGTCACATACTCACGAACATCTAAGGAGTACTACATACAAAGTCTGAAAGAACAAATCTGTTTATCTCAGGTACAATAAGATGACAACCAAACATAAGATAGAAGGGAGACGCCGGGCCTGCGGACGCCTGCAAGCTACCTCGTGTCTCTCTGGACTGAAGGTTCGCCCCCGTACTAATGCTGCTGCTGCTGCTCAATACCTGGACCTGTGCAAACATGCACAGAGTGTAGCATCTGCACAACCGACCCCATGTGCTGGTAAGTGCCTAGCCTAACCCCGGCGAAGTAGTGACGAGGCTAGACTGGACCTCACATAAACCTGTGCAATTATAAATATACAGCAGAAATCGGAGTTCAAGACAACTAATAGTATGGGAGGGGAAACATGCTGTGGTGAGATAACAATATTAACAGTAAATCCCAAGTGATCAATCCAAGTGCAATTTACAATTTTCGACGATCAAGAAACTAATACCAACACAAAGCACATTTGTATCCTAACTGTTGCGGCGCGCAACCCGACCCTATTATATTTCAACACTGTTGCGGCGTGCAACCCGATCCACAACTATCACTGCTGCAGCGTGCAACCCGATCCATAATTATCACTGTTGCGGCGTGCAACCCGATCCACAATTTTCACTGTTGAGGCGAGCAACCCGATCCACAATTTTCACTGTTGCGGCGTGCAACCCGATCCTCATATAACATTGTTGCGGCGCTCAACCCGATCCGTAATGTATACCTCTCAACCTTGCCCAAGCAACAGTCACAAATAAAGGGCAAGGGAGTAAATAAGTATTTGGAAGGAAATACCAACAAGGGTACACAAACAACAAAATAGCAACCATGCAAGAGTAAATCGTTATTTCTCCTTTTCTTTCGTTTTCATATCCTAGTTCTCATTAGCACTCGTGTCAAGCTCCAAGTCATTTCTCATTTCATATGCTCTCACCATTTGTATTTCAGACCGAGCCAATTCTCCACGAAGTTCCACAATCACAATATCTTTTACAAGGTGTTTACAACGCATAGAAGCCATCAATTAAGCATGGAAGGCATAACAATATCCAAACAATCCACATATAAGGACTCACGGTCATGCTAGACCCCAATGTATAGGAACTCATCACCATGCCTATACATCGTATTCGATCATTTAGCAATTAGCAAACAAGACTCGACTCCTATTCCCTCAAGCTAGGGTTAAACCAAACACTTACCTCAATTTCCCCGGCCAATACAATCCTTCACAATCGCTTTCCCTCTCGAATTCGGCTCCAACTCAACCAAATCTTTGCAATAAGGACTTCATGATATCAATATGTGCTAACAAATCAAATCGAATGATTAACTATAGCTTTTTCATCAGTTTACCCCAAAAGGTCAAAGATGCCCCCGGGCCCACATGGTTAAAACCTGAGGTTCAGACCAAAACCCGATTACCCATTCCCCCATGAACTCAAATATGTAAGTTATTTTGGAATCAGACCTCGCATTGAGGTCAAAAACACCCAATTTTAGAAAACCTAGGTTCTACCCTAAATTACCAATTTCCCATTAAAATCTTTGTTTTGAAGTTGAAATTATGTTTAAGGATGATAAGGAGTTTAGAAAATCAATTAGAAATCACTTACCAATCGTTTTGAAGAAGTAGAATCGTTTGGCAAATCACCTCTTATGTTTTGGGTTTTGAAAAAGTGAAAAAGTGACTGAAAATCCCGACTTTATATACTGTACTGAAGACCCGGCACAGACCGCACTAAAATGCTCCGCGGCCACGCTGAGGAAGAGTGGGGAAACCACTCTCTGAACCTACCCAGCGCGGACCGCACTGTTTTGGAGCACGCCCGCGCTGGCGGAATGAACCCAAATCCCACTCTCTGAATCTCCCAGCGCGGACCGCTCTGATGTGGCACGCGGCCGCGCTGGTCGAACTGGAATTCACTGGCCCTCTGAACCTAGCCACGCGGACGGCGCAGAAATGCACCGTGGCTGCGCGGCTTCCAGCGCGGACCGCGCGGAAATGACCGCGGCCGCGCTGGGGGCCTGCAACACCTGAACCTGCAACCATCTGATATTTCTAGCCTAAGACCTCCCGGGACCTACTCGAAACTGACCCGAGCCCTCGGGGCTCGAAACCGAACATACATATAAACTCAAAAACATCCTACGGACTCATCCGTGCGATCAAATCGCCCAAACAACATCATTATCATCAAATTAGCCCTCAAGACCCAGGATTACCTTCCAATTTTCATGAAACATCAAGTTTCGAGTTTTTAGTCCAAAACACGTCAAACGACGTCCAAATTCAACCAAACTTTATAGAAAGTACTTAGGCCGTATATAAGAGTTGTACCGGGCATCGGAACCAAAATGCGAGCCCGATACCACAGTCTTTTAATCACATTTCATTTCAAATTTCCTTATTTATTTTCAGAAAACAATTTCGCACAAAAATTCATTTCTCGGGCTTGGGACCTCGAAATTTGATTCCGGGCATATACCCAAGTCCCATATTTTCCTACGGACCCTCCGGGACCGTCAAATCATGGGCCCGGGTCCGTTTGCCCAAGACGTTGACCGAAGTCAAACTTAATAAATTAAATACCAAGATTTAACAATTTTTCTCACAAATTTCATATTTAAACTTTTCCGGCTACGCGCCCGGACTGCGCACACAACTCGAGGCAACCCCAAATGTGGTTTCCAGGGCCTCAAAAGTACAGAGGGAGTAGGAATGCAGGTGATGACCCTTTGGGTCGTCACACGGTTCAAGCTAAACCCTTGGAAAAGACACGTGGCCCAAAGAAAAACCAAGGGGGAGTTACTACACTACCTAAAAATAAATAAAAAATAAATCTTTTAGGTATTTTCTCTAGACTAACTTCCCTCAAGAAACTGTCTCAAATATCCGTCACTAGGAAGAGTCCTTATATTCTCTTTTTTTTTGTTCGACTAATGTCCCTCAAGAGACCTGTCGAAAGGTGTCCGTCTTCGGGCCCAGTCGAAGTTAACTACATGAACCTACGATACCAAACAATCAAAAAGAAAGAAAGCAACATCATACACAGTTATACAATCTTGATACAACAACAACCACCCCCCACCCCACACTTAAAAGTTTGGCATGTCCCCATGTCAACAAATAGAAAGCTGAGTAGGGTAAGGGGACTTCCCTGAAGCTCAATCCTGATTAGAGACAGTGCTAGGATCGAGGTGACATGCTCGGCCTAGCGATCGAAGCCATCCCATAATCTTTTTCTCCGACTAGGCCTGTTGAGTGGCCAGAGTATCAACTCGGGTGCCCATGTCCGTGACAGAAGTGTGGAGACCAGCCATTTCCTGCTCCAGTTTGGAGACAAACCTAGTGCGCTCAAACTGTGTCGTACTAGCTTGACCCCTAGCTCTTAAAGAGCTGCCCGGTCCGCTAGTGGAGGACCCTGTGTTGCGTCTATTCCTATATGGATGCATTTTACCTGTCAAACAGAGAATCGCCTATCAGTGAGGGTGTGAGTTGTGTGAACTATGGGTGGTTACTCAGACATTCCAAGGTAATGTTTCAACCTTTGCCCATTCACTGTGAACTTATTCGTCCCATCTTCTGATTCAATCTCAACAGCTCCACTTGGGAACATTTGCACCACTCTGAAGGGTCCTGACCATCGGGACTTCATCTTACCCGGAAATACTCTCAATCTGGAGTTGTATAACAACACTAGCTCTCCAGATTTGATGTTTCAGTCCATGATGTGCTTGTCATGCAATAGTTTCATCCGTTCTTTGTATAATCTAGCACTCTCGAATGCATGGAACCTGAATTCCTCTAGCTCATGTAACCCAGTGACTCTGTTAGTGCCTGCTGTCTCCATGTCCAAGTTCAACTGCCGCAGTGCCCAAAGTGCTTTATGTTTGTGTTCAACCGGAAGGTGGCATGCCTTTCCAAACACCAACTTGTACGGTGACATAACAATTGGGTTTTTGAAGGTTGTGCGGTACGCCCACAATGCATCATCCAGCTTCTTTGCCCAATCAGTCCTTGTTGCATTCACTGTGTTTGCAAGGACATTTTTAATCTCCCTGTTGGACACTTCAACTTGCCCGCTCGACTGTGGGTGGTACTGGGTGGTCACTTTATGATGAACTTCATACTTTTCCAACAGCCGTGCGAATGCTCTATTGTAGAAATGGGTTCCGCCATCACTGAGTATAGCTCTCGGGGTGCCAAAACATGTGAAAATGTTCTTCTTTAGAAAGCCTGTTACCCCTTTCGCATCTTTGGGCGGTAGAGCCAGTGTTTCGAGCCACTTGGAGATGTAGTCAACTGCTACTAATATGTACTTGTTACCGTACGAGCTGACAAATGGCCCTATGAAGTCGATCCCCCACATGTCAAAAACCTCCACCTCTTGAATTGTGGTCATTGGCATCTCGTGTCTGCAAGATATGTTGCCTGTCCTTTGGCATACATCAAAACTTTTGACCCAATCATGGGCATCCTTGAACAGAGTTGGCCAATACAAGCCCAACTCCAACACCTTAGCTACTGTCCAAATTCCTCCAAAGTGTCCACCATATGGTGAAGCATGGCAAGCCTGCAAAACAGAATGTTGATCTTTCTCGGGGATACACCGCCGGATCATGTTATCTACACATATTTTAAACAAAAGAGGTTCATCCCAATAATAAGACCGACAATCACGAAAGAACTTTTTCTTTTGAATTGAGGAGAGTTCATAAGGTACAATACCACTTGCTAAATAATTAGCAATATCAGCATACCACGGTGTCTCCTCCATTGTCATTGCTAGTAACTGTTCATCCGGGAATGTCTCTGTTATATCCTCAACCTCTACCTTCTTTTCAGCTCCTTCAAACCTTGAGAGGTGGTCAGCTACTTGGTTCTCTATCCCTTTTCTATCACGTATCTCCAGATTAACAGAAGAACCCAGCGAATCAAGCGTGGCTTTGAATCCTTCTTTTCTATCAGGTACCTAATTGTTGCATGGTCAATATAAACAATAACTTTCGAGCCAATCAAGTGTGACCTGAATTTGTCGAATGCAAAAATGGCAGCCAACATCTCCTTTTCTGTCACGGTGTAATTGAGTTGTGCACCGCTTAGCGTTCTGCTTGCATAGTAAATCGAGTGCGTCAGTTTATCTTTTCGCTGCCCCAAGACTGCTCGTATAGCATATTCACTTGCGTCGCACATGAGCTCAAACGGTTGCTCCCAGTTGGGTGTAACAATGATGGGTGCAGTCACCAATCTCTTCTTCAACTCCTCAAATGCCAACCTGCAATCATTAGAAAACACAAAGGGGTGATCCTTTTCAAGGAGTTTGCATAAACGGTTAGCAATCTTAGAGAAATCTTTTATGAATCGCCTGTAGAACCCGGCGTGCCCAAGGAAACTTCTCACCACCTTAACTGAAGTAGGTGGTGGCAGCTTCTCAATCACGTCAACCTTAGCATGGTCAACATCGATTCCCTTACTGGACACTCGATGCCCCAGGACTATCCCTTCTTGTACCATAAAATGGCACTTTTCCCAGTTCAGCACTAAATTTGTATCCACACATCTTCTGAGCACTCTTCTTAAGTTGTGAAGACAATCCTCGGATGTATCCCCCACAATGTTCTCCGCCATGTTTGTGAAAATGGCTAACATGTACCGTTGAAATGTCGCCGGTGCTTTGCAAAGCCCAAAAAGGTATTCTTCGAAAGGCAAAGATGCCATACAGACAAGTAAATGATGTTTTCTCTCTATCTACGGGGGCTATTGAGATCTGATTGTACCCTGAATATCCATCCAAGAAACAAAAGTGAGATCGCCCGGCCAGCCTGTCCAACATTTGGTCAATGAATGGCAGGGGAAGTGGTCCTTCTGGGTGGCTGTGTTCAATTTCTAGTAATCCATGCAAATCTGCCATCCCATGAATATACGAGTCGAGATCAACTCATTATTCTCATTTTGTACGACCGTCATTCCCCCTTTTTTCGGCACACATTGAACAGGGCTAACCCAATTGCTGTCGGAGACGGGGAAGATGATACCCTCATCTTACCATTTGATCACTTCCTTCTTCACCACCTCTTTCATATTCGGGTTCAGCCTTCGTTGATGTTCTCTGGAAGGTTTGTGCCCTTCTTCCAAGAGAATCTTGTTCATACAAAAGGCTGGGTTGATACCCTTTATGTCTGCCATGGTCCAACCAATGGGAACCTTACATTCTTGCAGTACATGTAGGAGCTGCTCTACCTGCACATCTAGCACATCGGATGATATAATAATAGGCAAAGTAGAATCAGGCCCTAAGAAAACGTACCTGAGGTGAGCTGGGAGCGGTTTCAGCTCTAGTTTGGGTGGTTCCTCTACTGATGGTTTTGTCGGAGGTGTAGCCCTTTTTTTCTAATTCAAGGGACTCGAACTGAGGTTCCCTCCTCCAGAATCCTTGGCCTTCGAGTGCCATGACCCACTCAGCCAACCCTCACCATCCATCTACTCTAAATTTGTCAAGCAAGCCTCTAATGGATCTTTAGAAGTCAGAGTCACATAATCTTCGTGCAGGATCACATCCACTGCCTCCACTAGGGAGCAATTAGCATATTCACTAGGTATCCTCATGGATTGCTGAACGTTGAATATGACTTCTTCATCGTTCAATCACATTTTTAATTCCCTAGTTTCACAATCGATCAGTGCTCTCCCAGTGGCTAAGAATGGCCTCCCTAAAATGATAGGTATCTCCTCATACACCTGGCAATCCAGAATAACAAAGTCTGTAGGGAACACAAACTTCCCCACTTGTACCAATACATCATCAAGAATCCCTGTCGGCCTTTTTACCGTGCGGTCAGCCAGTTGCAAAAGCATCAAAGTCGGTCTAGCTCTACCAATGTCCAGTTTGGTATATATTGGCCAGCGACATCAAGTTTATGCTGGCTCCTAAGTCACATAATGCCTTTGGAAAGGCATAACTCCCAATAGTTCATGGAATAGTAAAGCTACCTGGGTCAGACATCTTTTGAGCCATGGGTCTTGTCACTACTGCACTGCATGTCTTAGTCGGAGTTACTATGGATAGGTCCTGAAAATCAAACTTTCGTGACATTAGGTTCTTCATCATCTTTCCATAGCCTGGAATCTCCCTCAAGGCATCCATCAGAGGAATATTCAACTGAATTTGACGTAGCATCTCCATGAATTTCCTGTATTGATCTTCCTTCTTTTTTTTACCAGTCTCTGAGGGAATGTTTCAAGTATCACCCTTTGTGCACTGTTTGTTGGCTTCTCTCCGTCGAGGTTCTGTGGCACAAGAGGTATCACCTGTTCTACAGCTTGTTCACTCTCTTTAGCTTTACCCTTATCATCTTGAACCTGTTCAACCACCACTTTAGTAAGTTCTGCTGGTTCATCTACCTCTAATGGAACTGGAATGGCTGGATAGTCTCTTTACTGGCTTGTGCAACTTCCTGCTCTCTATCTAAATCTCTCCCATTCTGGAGACTTACTGCCATCAGCTGATTCAGATTTTGCTCCTTGGGGTTAATGTTCGTGTTTGCTGGCAATGTTCCTTGGGGGCGTTTGTTTAAGGCCATAGACAACTGCCCCAATTGAGTTTCAATGTTCTTTATTGCTGAGTCATGCACTGCCAACTTTTCCTGCATCTTACCATTTGTTCCAATGAGTTGTTGAAGCATACACCTGATCTCTACTATGTTGTTATCTTATTGCTGAGGAGGTGGCTGATATGTCAACTGTTGCTGGTTTTGCTGTGGATAGCCCAGTTGTCTCTGATATGACACCATTTGGCCTTGGGGTTGCATACCTCCAGGCTGTGGCATATTTGTTCTGTATTGCTGATTTGGTGCCGGTCTCCATTGCTGTCCTCCTTGTCTCTGACCCCCAAAGTTGTTGACATAATTCATATCCTCTCTTAGCCCTTGGTTGTCACTTCCTCCACTCCATGAACACACATAAGATTGATTAACGTAGGGTGTACACAATCCTCCATTTGCTGTGTCAACAATATGCACTTGCTTTGTACCCATCTCAACAATCTTCTTTGTCAATATACTCATCTTAGTCATGAGTGTGGCTATGTTCTCTGCACGCGAATTATTTGGGTCAAGAGGGATTGAATGCACTATTGGTGCCAGTGTTGTACCTCTCGTCATCCACCCCAAATTCTGGGACATCTTTTCAAGAAGGACTTTGCACTCGGTGAATGTCTTACTCAAAAATGCACCCCCAGCTGAAGCATCCACATTGGCCTTTAGATTTTCAGCTAACCCCATATAGAACCTCTGGCTGAGTATCTGGTCTGGAATACCATGGTGAGGATACTTCACTAGCATCCCTTTGAATCTTTCCCATGTTTCCTGCAAGGTCTTAGTCGGCTGCTGCTTGTACTGCAATATTTCATCAATTTGCCTTGCAGTTTTGGGCAGGTAGAACTTATTCAGGAACTGCTTGACTAATTCCTCCCAGGTGACAATGGAATTTATTGTGAGCGAATTCAACCAAGTCTGAGCTTCCCCAGTCACAGAGAACGGGAACAGTAACAGTTTGATAGCTTCTGGGGTCACATTTGGCTTCCTTTGGGTCACACAAATCGACAGAAAATTTTTCTAGTGTTGCTGAGGTTCTTCAATGTGTGACACGGAGAACAATCCCTTATTCCGTAGAAGATGCAACACGTTGTTGGTGATCTGGAATGTCTCCGCTTGAATTGGGGGCGCAACTTTGGCAGTAGCCAGGTTGTCAACTGTCGGCTGTGCCCAATCATAAAGTGCTGCTTCTGGCACAAGAGGTGCCACCACTCTGACGTTTGGGTCAGCTGGCTCATCCTTGATGTTTCCGTTGACGTTCTCTACGTTACCCATGTCAATTTCATGCTGGTGTGTTTGTTGTGATTGTTGGATCCTCTTGTTAGCACATTTCAATGCCCTGAATGTTTTCTCGGGGTCTGAGAGTCCTTCAATCAGTTCTCCAGTCCTCAAAGGCATACACCTGAATCCCACAAGAGTTAAAACGTGAGAATTTCAATGAAAAAATTGTTTAACACCTTCAAAAATAGATCTAAACTAATAATTTTAACACTACTTCTAAGTTGTAATAAATAACAACGTTAATTCCCCGGCAACGGCGCCAAAATTTGATCACGCCCAACTATTCCCTCTAAAAGACAAAAACAATCGTTGCAAATATAATCCGATTTTATGTCCAGAGTCGAATCCTCAGGGAACTAACCTATCTGTTACAACTCTTGGCAATGGTATTATCAACTTAACCAATTTATTGATGCAAGATTTTTATCAATAAAGGTTGGGTTTTTGTTTAACTACTTCAAACGATATTCAAAATAACAATATGCAAAAATTGAAGATAATTCAATGGTAAAAAGGTCTAGGGCATTGATGTCCC